TTGTGCGATTGTTGCTCGAGGCTGGAGCTGACAAAGATGCAGCAGATACCGGTGGTTGGACAGCTTTACGCATTGCAGCCGAGGAAGGCCACTTGGAAGTTGTGCGATTGTTGCTCGAGGCTGGAGCTGACAAAGATGCAGCAGATACAGATGGTGATACGGCTTTGCACATTGCAGCCCTGGGAGGCCGCTTGGAAGTTGTGCGATTGTTGCTGGACGCCGCAGCTGACAAAGATGCAGCAAATACCGAAGGTTCAACGGCTTTGCACTTTGCAGTCCTGAATGGCCACTCTAAAGTTGTGCGATTGCTGCGTGAGGCTGGAGCCGACAAAGATGCCACATTCAAAAGAAGGGCTATAGGCTATAGTGTACCATTTAAGTGCACCTTTCTTTCATCTTGAGCAGGTCTCATCCACATCTCATCACCACAACTGCGCCAACTGCGCCACCCAGATGCGCCAATGTCTGTCCGCGCAGACCGGTCTGTCCGCGGCGAATTTCCGGGGCCCGATCGACCCGGAACGGGAACAGATGTCAAGGTGTCGACCAAACACACCCAGGGGATCCATATCCCTATAGGGATCCAAGTACCTTCTCAAGTACAGTGATTGGAGACACTCTGATGTAGGTTTTGAGGGTCCAGTTGTACCTATAGGGATCCGTTTTCGTACCGAACCGACCCGGTACGGTGAGGAAGGAGACACTCAAACATCGTAGGTGCCAGGAGGGTCCGTTTTCGTACCGAACCTGAGGAGAAGGTACGAAAACGGATCCCTAGGGCATGTTAGTAGGTCACCAGTGGTTCCAAAGACTGCATCCGTAGACCGAACGGAACGGGCCTTCGGTTCCTTAACTATTCGTGGGCTGCCTGGGATCCTGACATTGAAACAGTCATGAAGCGTCTCTTAGTATCTCTTAGTCCAGGTCATGTGGAGACTCCAGATCGAGGTCATGAACTGAAGGTCCTGGTTGAGCTGTCCCTTGATTTGTGTTATTTAAACCTATTTAAAATATCCTCGGTTGGCAGTAGAACTAACAAGGGGTAGCTTGAGCACATCCATTAGCATATTTTTGCCGACTACTTTGGTGCCATCCTACCTTCGGCCTTGGCTGCTGCACATGGGCTGCCAAAAACCCGAAAGCGTTGGTTTGGTTGTGGATCTGAGGTGTCACACCTTCACTTGAACCAAACCTACCTATACCAACGTTGGCTAACCCAATCAGATCACCACCTGGGGTCACCCATAGTATTGTGGGCTCCTAACCCTCTCTGGGAGCTACAGCCGGGGATGTTCCTTTTTTGTTTCGACCCCATGCCTACTGAAGTACGGTTGTTTTGCAACTTCTGTTGGGGCAAGTTTGATGCGAACTGCCATGGTGGTTAATGAACTTGATGTTTGAATTGTTCCGGGCAAGCTGGTTCAGCATTTGATCAAGTTCCAGGCGCTTGCGCCAATGGTATTGACCTTGAAACACCTCCGATCCACTGTCCTGTTTTGGAACTGCTTAAGGGCGCAAGTCACCCGCGCCGAGGATCGACTGGCATGCCTTTCACTCCCAGAACCGGCGTGCCTTACATCTACCGATGTCCTTCATGGAGGCGCCTACCTGAACCTTCAAGGGGTGGACCTACAGAGGTGAAGTGACTGTAACTGTAACCCTTGAAGGGTACCGGTTCCTGGGAGATCGAAGGGGTTCTCCAGCCTCTGGAACTGGGGAACTGCGTGGAAGTCCGGTTCCTGGGGAACTGCGTGGTGTCCAGGCATCAAGGCAGATGAAATGGAGCAGAAAAGTGTGGCGCTGTGAAAAGGAGCAGATGAAGCCGAACCTGTTTCTTAGGCACTTTTTGGGCCACAAGTGTTCCAACATCTGGAAGAAACATGGAACGCATCCCTGCCACCATTTTCCACCAAAGTAGGGTCGTGGGAAGTGGATGGGTGTTGGGAGACCATGGCCTCCACAAACAACAAACTGCCCCCTTCCACAAACAGACCAAAGACACGTCCTATGGAATAGTTCCATACGTGTACCCCATGATTCCCTCATTCATGACCCTCAGGAACCATTGCAGTCCCATACCAGGACCCTACTTCACAGGTCACCACCGTCGCGACTTGGAACAAGTCTACAAGGTCGCCCTCCATGCCATCGGAGACCTGTTGGTTTCGGTGCTGGTATGGACCCTAGGGCTCCGAACAGCCCACCGAACTCGTTTCGAAAATGGGACAGGGGTGGGTGGTCTTTGGGGGGGTCAAACCACCGGTCACCTGAGGATATGGGACAGGAGCCCGATCGGGGGATTATATAACATGGCTGTTTACTCCTCCCAGAGTACAGTACTCCAATGGCTGTTGGTCTTGATTGCAGTCCCATATGGATGATCGTTGATTCACTTCGGATTCGGTCCACCTCTCCTCACCCCACCAGGCGACCTATGCCATGGACGACTTGCATCGCATCGAGGTGCCGGGACATGACCGAGGTCCGTTTCGCCGGGCCAACTTGGATCGGTAAGACTGGAACGTCGACCCGTGGCCAACCTGAAGTCGACCCGTGAAAGTACCTCAGAACATAGGGGCACATGTAGCAGTTGTTGTTGTTCTGGTGTTTTTATAGGCCCCAAAAGGGCCCAAGCACCTTTTAAGAAGGTGTTTGGACCCTTTAAACCAACCCCAAACACCTTATCACAAGGTATTTGGAGCTCTAGGGAGGGTCATGTCACGTCCCATTTTCGAGAGTACTTTCGAGGGTCCAGGAAGAGCATCCACATTTTGAAGAGGTGTAGACGGTGCGATCGCGACACATCAAAAGACCGTCTCATGCAGTTGTATTTTTTCAAGGGGGGCCACAGACTTGGGACACTGTCTTTGGATGGTTTTGAGGTGCTTGTTTATTTTTCAGTCTTTTATATGGAGCCGTTCAATAGCTGACATTGGGGTGGGGATTCTGAGCCAGGTCAATGGTAAATCTTCCAGTTCGGATGGTCTGGGAATGTAATCCTTTTGGTCTCTTCATTTCCCAGACACTCCAAGTATGCTAATAAATACATATATATGCCTATAATATATACATTGACCCCTCCGTCCTGGCAGTCCCAGACAGGTCGTGTTTGGGTTTGCATGGTTCATTTGTGGGCTTTGACTCTCTCCAGTCGCCCTCGTGACAGGGCTGCAGTCGACGTTTCTCTCGCCCAGGCAATTCTGGCGACAGTGAAGCCCTCGAGCTCCAGCTACCAAGCGGCAAGGACCGCGGGGCGCCGTTTGGCACGTCACGCGGTGCGCTTTAAAATCGGTGACGTGGCTGGTGCAAACCTGGGTGGTTGTCATGAAACGAGTTGGGGCCCAATCCTAGCACACCTGGGAAGGAGCCGTCACTTTTCACAAGAACCTCACGATTCTTGAGATGGACGTCGGCCTCCAACTTCCCGCCCCATCCAACTTCCGGCCCTGGTTGGTTAGGATAGCCTCAATAGGCCCTCCGGCTGCGCAGCCGGAGCACGTCCGAGCCGGCAGACCCCGAAAGAGCCGCACCAACGTGGTGACCTGGGAATGTCTAGAGCCCACCAGTGATGGAATGGTCTTATAATCAACCCACCTCGGGCCTGTTTTGTTTGTTGAACGATTTTTTTGACTACAAGCAGATCAACCTGTTGTTTAAAACAATCAATTAGTTGGTGCTTGTTGAAGGCAGAACAGCCCCCCATGGTGCCCAAAGCATGCCCTGCAGGGCTTCCGTTTTCGCACCTCCTCCCTCCACCGTCCCTCGTTCACCGCGCACGTGCTCCACGTGCCACTTCGCGTCCATCGACATCCATGGCATCCAGGAAGAGCACTGATGAGGTACTGGCGGATGTCAAGGCTTGTGCGCTTTATTTTTGGGGAAAAGGACGTGGCATTCATGGGGCCAGTTGCAAGTGTTGTACATGGTAGATCCAAAAGGTGCCCCAATACATTGTAATTACAACACCCTTAGAGCGACTCCTACAATCTTAGGTTGTCTCAAGTTAAAGCTACAGTTTCGTTTTGTACATGCGCACTCTTGCTTATTCTTCTTGTTCCCAAGGGCTCCAGTCGTACCTCCTCAGGTTCGGTATGACTGGACCCTCCTGGCACCCACCTCAGTCCCACCTTCAAAACGAAGGCACGACTGGAGCCTAGGGGTTGTATATGCCCTAGGGCTCCAACCACCTCCTGAGAAGATGGTTGGGGTGGGTGCCAGGGGGGTCTAACCACCTTCAAGAGGATATGGTTGGAGCCCTAGGGATGAGAACTCTCTTGTCTTTTTGTCTTTGTTTGATGTGATGGACGCCCCCCCACACCGTGAACGCTAGCCGACGACATGGGAGACGGCTGAGACGCGGACTGAGACGGCTGAGACGGCGACCTTGGAAGATCAGCCAAAGGTCGCATGGAAAATGGACAATCGGTATATGGAAATGGTAGTATCCATGGTAGACTTAGTATGGATAACATGGAAGTGGAACATGGATGGAAATGGTAGTATCCATGGTAGACTTTGTATGGATAACTTGGAAGTGGAACATGGAGGAAACGAGGAAAGTCCAGGAAGACGACGTTCCTCGTCACGAAGACTCACTCCACTTCCATGCGATGTTGGTCGGAGTGTACCTATAGCCCATTGCCAGTAACAGTTGCCAAAAAGATTACGTATCACTACTTTCGAGAGGTCGGCCTCCAATCAGGCCCCATCATAATCCACTGCTTGGCCATCTTGGGATACTTGGGATCGTTGGCTACGGGGAGAACACCTCTTTCGAAATGACACTCCGGCATTATTAGACTGCAAATATGGCTGGCCTACCATTTGCAGGTGGTGCTTCTTGGTGATGTTTCATGTATCGATCCATATATACCTAGAACCTGAATGACCTCTATTTTGGATCAACAACCACCCAAAATAAGGTCTTTTCCTATCAAAAAAGAGGTCAAGTGGGCTCTAGGTATACATACAGTATATGTACCAGCATCCTCCAGCAAGTCTCCTTTAGAGGGTTCTTGGGCCCCAACAGGTCTCAATATTGGTGACCTGTGAAGTCAGATGCTGGTATAGGCCGTACTTGCGCGGAGCGGGATGTGCTGGTTGATTCATGGAGGGGCCCCACCCTGGTCGTGACCGATAGCTATAGGCTATAGCCTTGTGGTTTAGTCGCAAAAACGGACACGGCCCATTTCCCACCACCTTGTTCCAGTCATTTGTTGTTTGTGTATTTTGCTGATTTTCCACTTCATCGCTGGCTTATTGGGCTTTGATAGGGGTCTCCTTCGCTCTCATTGCACCCCAATATGGTTGAATTCCAGAATATGGCCATTCATTTTTCTGTGTCCTATCTCAAGGTCCCTATATGTGGTCGTCTTCGCGCCACACGCTGGGCCCACGACCGCCGCAGCGGAGCCGAGCCGAACACGCACCGCCGGAGCCTCCGACCGCACCGAGCCGAGAACGCACCGCCACGTCGCTGCTGCTCGCGAAGGCGGATCCTTGTGGGTGGAGGTCTTTGGAAAGGAATGAGTGCCACTTGGTGTCCTCAAACATCGAGCGCGTGGTAGGTGGTATACAGGCGCTTGGGTTGGCGCCTCTAGAGAGGTGCAGTGCAGAGAGGGGGTTTTGGGGGTTTGGGGCAGTTTGGGTGATGGTGGTGTGGCTTGGAAGTCTGGGTGCTGAGGGGGTTGGAGATCAGTGGAGGTTTCAGTAACCTCCAAGGACCTCCAGCTTCGATGGTAGAGACATGAAAGGACTGACCCCTCTTCTTGGCAAGTTGGAGTGCTAGGGAGTGCTCACTAAAGCAGACGAAACAGCCACTGGTCAACAGTGACGATGAGCTCAGGGAAGGAAACGATGATCTACATGGAGGATGAAGGCCTTTAGCAAAAGCAAATGGTTTTTGTTGGCACAGAGAGGCTCCTTGGACCATATGGATTTTGGGCATCACCTCCGCTTCTGAACCGCGAGCCGTGGCTGCGGTTCAAAGGCAATGCATCGCAAGAAGAGCGGCTCTCCCAGGCCGCCAAGACTTCACTTGGTATGTACGACCGTGACCAGGTGAGACCCGTCCAGCGGCACGGCCAGTTGGCGGCTTTCAGAGCTCAACGGCGCGCGAAGCACCGACGGAACGGTGGAAGCGATGAATTCAGTCCAACTGCCTGGGGCCGTGAGTTCAGCAGTCGTGTTTCTTCATCATTGATGGTGTTTGCCGGCCTACAGGGCTGACGCTACGACATCCGACGACCCCCCCGGACCTCGGTGTCTTTGGGGGGCCCGCGCTGCATCGTTGTCGGTCCAACAGATCCGGAGCAGCTTAAGCTGCAAGGTGTCGGCTTTCCGGTGAGAGGAGGACGTTGTAGGGCCAATCTTTGACTTATTGGCCTTGAGACTTCTCATAGGTGGATGTTCAAAGATGTTGCAAGAACTTATAAGTCTTTTCAGACCTCTTCTTTTCCTTTTTTCCTCTTTTGATGTTCGATTTGCGCGTCATGTTTGCCACCGCCACCAGCGCCTGAGGCTTCTACCACAAGAGTTTGGGTGTGAGAAAACTTTCCTGCGCTGTGCCGGGCTTGGTGCCGTGCTGCTTTTGATGTTGTTTGATTGGAGGCTGCCAAATCTGTGGCGGCCCATAAAGAGGTCTTCCCGTGGATCTTGGGGTTCTTGGATCGATTATGACCTAATGGAACATGACCATGTCGGCAGCCTATTCATTTCGAGTACACTTCGAGTACGTGGCTCATCCCGCTCCTTCTAATCCTCTCCCCTTCCGGCTGAAAAAAGACGACGATCGTGGCTCGCCTGTCTGATGCGCCGCGGCTCAGGTGCGCCTGGTGCGGCACAGCGTCGCCCTGCGGCGCCGCGAGAGGAACGGCTTGGACCTGGGCGAGAAGAAGGAGCCGCACCGCGTGCGTCGGACTAGCTCCGGGAGGCGCCGAACGGCAGCTCGGAGCGAGGTCGGAAGGGGCGAGGGAAGGTCAACGCCACCGGGACGATGGAGATGGGGATGGATGCGATTAGGATGGTTAAGGGAGGACGGTGGAGATGGGGAGGACGAGGAGGAAGAGGAGGAAGAAGGGCAACGGGCTTTTGGCTCGCAGGGCGAGAGTGTTTTTTTCCAGATGATGCGTTTGTTTGGGCTTCGGGGTGTGGGTCACTTCCCCTTGAGGCCCTTGATTGTTGCTGACACTATAAGTATACTGGGTTCCACATCAGTGGGCTGTGGATGTTCGGCGTCTCCGGGCAGGGGTGGATTTCTTTCGGACTCCTGCCCCATATCCTCAGGTGACCGGTGGTTAGACCCCCCAAGACCACCCACCCCTGTCTCATCGAACCGAAACGAGTTCGGTGGTATTTGGAGCCCAAACGGGTTCAAGTTGGCCGTTTCCAGCGAACCTCATGGGCCGATCGGATGCACCTCGACGTCGGATGACGTGATGTCTGTGACACCGACAGGGTCTCTCCGTCCTGACCGAATCTCAGATCAAGCAAGAGAGGTATCCAGTGACCGTAAATAGGGCAACCTGTGGTACCGGACTGGGATAGTCGAACTAGGGTTCTTCAACCTTAAGTTGGAATGATCACGATTCGGACGAGAAAAACCAACAGTGCATGGTCATAGGATAGGCGTCACACAAGTGACGCCGATGTTTGATGATTTTTGGAGCCGACCCAATTAATGTGGCCATCCATAAACCAAAAGAGGTACAGTAGATGGTGAATCAGTGATGAGTCCCAAAAATGGGTGACGCCACCGAAGGCTGGCAAAAAGATTCTTGGCGCTACAATCTGGACCAGCAACCCTAGGGAACCCTTTGGCAGGGGCAGGCCGCTGGAACCCAGCAAGCTCCTTAGGAGACCACGCCTCTCTCTCTCTCTCTTCCCCAAGACTGGCCTCAAATATCTCAAATCCCTTCAAGTTTGGGAGGCACGCCCCAGGCACGCTCCACTTCCGCCCCTCGACCCGTGCCAGTCTGAAGCTCCTTCTTCGCCACTTCTTCGACTCCACGAGGTCGCCGTGCAACGCCCACCGCACCCGGCGAAGCGCCGCAGGAGAAAGCCCAGCAGATCGAAAAATGGGCCGCCTCCGAGTTGGCCGCCGCAGGCGACGTGGGATGAGAATCCAAGAGGTCCATGTGGGAAGGAACGACCTGGGATGGGAATGGGGTGTTTGGTGAGGTGGAAGGACGGTGGGGCCCTGGAGTATCAGGTTTTGAATTCTACATAGTTAGTTCAACCTCTCAATGTCCAGAGGCTGTTCAATCCATGTCAAGGGAGTTTGGTTCATCAAGAATCAATCATTACTCTATATTGACATAGGTGATGGCAGGGATTCTTTTTCTGGAAGCTGTCGTTGTGCTCAAACATCATTTTGGGATGTTTTGGATGGCGGTTGCAGATTTTGCTGCTTATTCAACCTTTATATATATGGGATGGTTGACCCCATTGACTACAACATATTTCGTTTCTGAGTTGAGTCCACCAAGCTGTGGACCAGGGCTTGGCTGGCGGGTGATTTGAAGACCACTATTTTGCAGCTTGGATAGGCTGGAAGATGAAAGTTGGGCTTCCTGCCCTGGACATCCGTGGATCTCATGCCCCCTTCCTTTTGTTGGATTGCTTCCCCCAACATGGTCCATGGCATTGGTGTAGGAAACGGAAAGCTTCGGTGGTGATGTCACCGGAGGTTCCAACGGGGGTGTTCCTGGTGGTCACGAGGTTTTGATGTTTGTGTGTGGCCATTGGCCATGTCACAGGCCATGTCACCGTCCGTGGCACTTTCCCTGTCACTGCCGCACTGCCGCAAGTGCTTGGTCCGGTTTACGGCGAAAGCACCTGAGACATATATGGGGAATGTCTGGATCGACACGATCTGTTTGGGACTGAAAAAGATGTGCCAAAATGGACGGGTAAGATGTTATGGTCTGATTGTATGTTTAGGACTAAATGGACTGTGTAAGATTTTGGACTACACACCCTAGATATGTGTAGTCTTAAGACATTTTTGAGGGTCGATTGTATAGGGAAAACCTTCAGTCCCATTGAGTGTTTTGATGGATCTGCGCCCCTGGAGGGCGAGAGGTGCAGGAGACACCGGCACCTTTGATGGGCGCCTTTCTGAGAAGGGATGTGGATCCCTATAGGGCTTAGATGGTATAAGGGCAGCTATCTTTCTCAGGTCATGTCAGGTCCATTTGTTGAATTCTTGATCTCTAAGTTTCCTCAATCAACTATATATGACTGAGATACAGATGGCTTTCCAGAGGCATCCAGAAGTTGCCCAGTGATCTTCACCACACTACTAGTAGATCCTTGAAGTCCCCCTTGCTCGGATTCCTTCAGTTGTTGATGTTAACTTTGGAGCAGGACGACTCCTTTTGCTGTTGCTCATACGCAACAGCTTCCTCCACGGCACGGTGGTGCCACAGCGCGTCCGGACGTCGGACGAAGACCTCCAACGGCTTCCTCTCCAGGTGTGGTGATCCCCGAGGACCTGTCCTTCGCGGGCGACGACCTCAACGGGAGCTCCCAGGTACGGTCGTAGCGACGTGCGACGCGATGCGCGACGCGTGGCACGCACGTTCAGACGGCCCGGGCCGGGGTTGGGCAGTGGTGGAGAAGCGCTGGCCAGATGAAGACGCAGCCAGAGGACTAGCATTCCTGTGAAGTAGAGGAAGGTAGGTGCTCCTCCCCAAAAGCCCACGACGTCTTGGTCTCGGACGTTCCGCTGCTTCCGTGATCCACGTCTTGGGCTCCAGTCATATCTGCGTTTCGAAGATGGGACTGGGCCAGGCGGGTCCAGTTATACCGAACCTGTGTTTGGGGTGGGTTTAGGGGGTCCAGTCATACCGAACCTGAGAAGGTACGACTGGATCCCTAGGGCCTGGATTGGAGTCATGAACTTCCGGTGCCAACGTCACCTGCTCAGACTCCTCAACTTTCTGGAGCTGGGGAGAGAAAAGGGTGTGAAACCAAGACTGGCGCCTGCAAGACTCACTGACTATCCACCAACCGGCCCAGCTGTTTTTCAGCCTTTTTCCGCCGATTCTTTCCTGTCAATACGGAGTCCCAGACAGGGATCCCCTTCTGGTGAGGTTTCAAGATGTTCCAGGTTTCTTCAGCAAATCCCATGTTGATGTTCCAGTTTTTTGGGTTCTGTGGCCCACCGGATTTCATGGGTTGAATCATCTGGAATCCCGAATGGAGCCATTGTTTTTGGGTGTGTGTTCGACTACAGCACGGACTGCGCTGTGCGCACGGCACGGAACTGCGCCTCCACGCCTCCCACGCCTCCCGCGTCTTTCGCCCTGCAAAGGAGGGCGCACGCAGCGGAACACCGACGGTGGAGGCGGTTCAGAAGACTGACGGTTTCGCATTTGAGGGTGATGTGACGTGTGATGAACCTCTCGTCGAACTCTTTTCAAGCTCCCAGAACCTCATACGCATGGCAATAGGCGCCTTATACAATGGTGGGGTTAACCCCTCTATCAAACGATTGATGGATATTGATGGACATTCCAGGGGGGGTTGGGCGCCCTCATTTTATAGGGATGTTTGACATGATACCTGGACCTTCGTGGTCTGCCTTTTTTTGATCCGAGGTTGCATGTGCTGGTTTTTTGATCCATGATCCCAAAAAGAATCCGAGAAGGGAAAAAAGATCCGCAGCTACATTTCTATGATCAGGCTTCGCAATGATGTTTGTTGAAGTGCACTACCAACACGTTGAAATACAACAAATAATAAGCCCTTTGTTTTATCAACAACTCACCGGTGTTTGAATCCCGTCAAACCGATCCAATTCCATCCCATCCCATCCACCAACTCTTCTTGACTTCCCGCTTTCTGTCTCCGTGCCTTGCTGATCATCGACGCTTTGCGAAGTGGTGCGGGACCCAGCCAGAGCAGGAAAGAAATTGGGTGGAAAGGGCACCTATGGTAAAAACAGAAAAACGGTTGAAGCATTATATAGTTGAATGGACTGGAACTTTGTTGACAAACACATCACTTCTTGGCTGTAGTCTTCTTCAATCTCCTTTTGGAGACTGGCTTCTTGGACTTGTATCTGCCAAACACTGACTTGCATTTAATTAGGTAAAGGTCTAAAGTACGCCGTACAGGGATTTGCGGCGAGACACGCCGAGAAAGACGGGAAACGCGGCCAACAACGTCTTCGCACATGTCGCAATTCCAGGCGCTCGGGTTCAAGACCCAAACCACATGGGGTTTTTTGAGTTGACTATACAGCTCCCATTTGGTGTGCATGAGCATGTGCAGTTTGGCCTTCATGGCAAATCCTGGGACTCTGTGGGTATACAAGCAAAGATGGGCCAACTTGTTGTATGCCTGGACGAAGTCATGGAAGTGCCGGTAAAGAACTGCTGCGCACGGTTTGGTTAACCATAAACCATGGTTATACAGTATGTTCTCCCAACCTTGCACACATGTTGTCGCCTTCACGATGGTTTCCAAAGCTGGTCGGTGAAGCTCATCACGGATGTCGTTCAAACAGCTGACTGCAAGTACCTTGAGCCAACCTATCAAAAGGCAAGTGTCCGATCCTTTGGAGTTCACCCAACTGTAGTGCCAGCTGCGAACTGCGTTGAAGAACATGCTTGTGAAGCTGTGTAGAGCTGGGTAATGGTGAGTGGACTGGCAGTATAACTGAAAGTGAGAGTGGGCCCGCTCTAGGAGCGCCTCCCGGTTGTTGCTCACCTCACCCCTCCTTCCATGAAAATAGCCAAACAACAGAATCAACATTACACCGCTCCCTACCAGGTCGCGCAGGATGCCCACCCGGGTGTTGTGGAAAAGGTCACGGCGTAGCATAGCTTCCGGGGCCTCGTCCCGGAAAGGGATGTCAACTATGGGTGGCACATTGGACTCCTTCCATGGTCTGTTTAGGTACAAGGTGTGACCCCAAACAGGCTCATGAGATCCGTCCTCCCATGGTGTCTGAGCTGACCCCGCAGCACATTCATGACACATGCACATCAAGTGTCCGAGCTGTTTGTTGAAACATCGGTCCAATCGAGCAATCTTCTCGTACCAACGCAGATCGCCTTTCAACCCCAAGACACAGCCAAACCAGGTGGTTGTTCCAACGACCACCCCCTGAGTGAACAATGTACGGAACTCCGAGCACAATTGTTCCATGAAAGCATCCAAAACTCCAGTTTTCTTGTAATACTTGTTGGGCAAAACGCACAGCACGAACTTAGTCAAATAACTATGCTGCCTGAGGTTGACAAGCTGCTTCGCACACAAAGGCAGGGCTCCCTGCTCGTTGTTTTGCATGGCTCCGATGTTGAACCGTCTTGTATCTTTGTCAAGCGGATGGCAGTCAGGGCAATGGTTTGCATCCCACTCTGAAGAAGGATCTGGTAGGCCCAGCATAGTCTCCATGGAAATCACACAGGTGTTTCCCTTTTTGGGACCGCGTCCCTCATCCCCATGCAGACAAAAGGCCAGGGTGTTTGAAGGCTTCCGCTGAGGATCGTCCTGTTGGAAAAAGACATGTTGGGGCTCAATGGCCTTGAAGGCTGCCCAAAACTGTTCCAAGTTCTGTCTTGCATGGTTCGCATCCACAACACCACCTGTGACCAACTCCGGACAATTCTGTAAGAGAAATTTGGTAAAGCTCAACGGGGACAAGTATGGGAATTCAAAGACCTCTCCAGATTTGCAATGCTTGAAGTGAGAGGCTTCAACTTTCCATTTTAGCCCCCATCTTTTGATGAAAGCATGCGCGTCCCTGCACGCGTTGGTTGGCGCAAGGGCTTTTCGACCCTCACCAACCTCAGCCCTGGCTTCGACGCCATACTGGCGTAAAGATGCTGCAGGGACCTCAGATCGATGTTCGGCTGGGAGGTCAATCACTCCGAGGTGACCGGTGTTAACAGCATTTGACTGAGCTTTAAAAACATGATCATGGATGCAACCAAATGTGAAACTATAACTAATGATTGAGTTTGAAAACCCGCAGTTGAGCACCACACCCCATCTGCCAAGACTTCCGCGTAGTTCGATGCGACATCTCCTGGTTCTCTTTGCTCAGAACCAGGACCTGGCATTGGAAAAACCGTTGGGCCATTGCCGCACACACACACACACACACACACACACACGCAACCCTCCAAGCTTTGAAACTTTCTGGGTCTGGTGTTTGGAGCGATGACTGCTTTTGGTTTTTCATTTGGCGCAAGCAAACTTTTTTGAAGCAGCAGATTCAGCCAGCTAGCTTGTTCACACCCATCTAGGTTGCACATCAATCATGCAATGCATGGTAATCACGCATTGGACAGGCCACTCCCTGACTACCCCCAAAACGAAGACACTCATTGAAGTCTAGCTGAATGCCTGAACAACAAGACGTCAGGGCTCGGGCCCCAAACCCAGGAACCATGTAGCCCAAGCCACCATGCTTTGAGAAAAACATGGACAGCTTGAAAAGCAAAAAGATCACATTAAATCAATCTACTTCTTCTTGCTAGAAGCCTTAGCTTTGCTCTTAGGCGAAGCCTTAGCTTTGCCCTGCGGCGTACCCTTAGGCGTAGAATTAGAAGTCTTCACGGCAGCCTTAGCCTTTGCCTTGGCCTTCCCTTTCGGGGCTGCAGCCTTCGGAATGAATGGCCTGGCACAGCGGATGCACGGTGGACCCTCAACCAAAATGCTCAAAACCATTGCTCAAGTGTTTCAGCGGGGACGGTGTGAAGGCTGGGCCACAAAGTGCATACATAACTGTTTGGCCCACAGCATGTAGCAACCCACAAAACACCAGGCCTTGCACGGTGTTCCAATGACAACGATTCAGCCGCCCTTAAACACAGGCTTGCCACATGCAAAAGGTTGAGTGGGAACATAGGCAAAGACTTAAAGCCCACTGTCTTCGAGTGCAAAGACTTAAAGCCCACTGAGGGCTGGTCGCATTGGAAGCCTTGTCAATCGTCGCTCGAAGCTTCATCTCCACCCTTGGCATTGCAGATGCAGCTATAGGGAAAGGGAACCGAACATGACCCCTAAGACCCATCAAAGTCCATATAAACATGTTGCCAAGCCAAAGCCAGCTAGATCCAAGGCACTCCTTCGGGTATCCTTTGATGACCCCTTGAGAGTACTCCTTCGACAGGTCGGCGTGAATCGCTTCCAAATCCCGAGCAGAATCAACGATGGCAGCCTTCAGCCTCAGATCGGTACTGGTAGGGTTGTGACTGACCAGGGCGGTGAAGCTTACATCCCAAAACTAACTCACCCAAAAGAGTTGACCACCAAGACAACCCAATCAAATCCGGGTAACCGTGACTGCAAATCAGTCAGGGTTTGAACAGCGAACTTGTCATTCAGCTCTTCCATTTTTTTCATACGCTTGGCCAACGCAGTCCTTAGATGGGCTGTAATCGTCCAGTAGGTTTGGGGTAGCGCTATCATGCGTGAAACTAGGCACAAACTCTCAGTGTATCTCAGCTAGTCCTGGCCTGTTTCATGCCTCTTTTCTTGCGTGATGAGGACTGAGGACATTCAAGCAGGTTCTCATGGTCTAGATGGTGCGACCAGAAATCAAGTATGAGGTCACCTGTGCACTCGGAAGCGCATCAGGGTCAAGTTCTGGAACCCCAAGTAGCTTCCTTTTCTTAGACGCTGCATCGGTTTTGTCTGCCTCGTCCAGGAGCTTCTGGTCATCAACACCTGCCCCAGCATTTGGGATTGTGGGCTCGCCTAACTAGTCTCTAAGCGCAAAAGCATGTTTGCCACAAGGTGATTCGCTCCTACAGCTCCCACCTCCACTATCAGGAAGATCAAACCCATCATCCATCCCCTCAATTCCACCCTCCTCAAACCGCACCCGCTTTTTGGTGTGAAGTCTAGAGGTTCGCCTTAGTGGGAGGAGTTGTGAAGAGCAAGTGCAACTCACCAAGCTAGTGCCTGATGCTAGACCCCACTATTTGATCCAAGATGCTTTTCAGTCCCCTTCACACAGCGTTCTACATAGTAGAGCAGGGTCTTCTCATACGGATCTTGCCTGCTGCCAGCAGCTGCTTGCAAGCAGAACTGTGAGACCCAAGGTGCATTTTGGAAGAACAACCTACGACGGGCACGGCACCTCAGCAGTTTGGTGGGGTTGGAGCGGCAGTGGGCTTTCACTGCTTCAATTCGCTGCCTTGGCTGAAGCTGCCAACAATAGGGAAAAAGAAAAACAACCATGATATTTCTGAAGTAGTTTCTTACTGTGGGTATCCATTTTGTGTCCTCTTCATTGTTTTACGCGTTGCATGCCAAACTGCTCGCTGAAACCCCATTCAACCATGTCAGCCTCTGTGGCAAACTGCCCTTCAACGATCAGCTCTGTCT